CCAGGGCTGGAACATTTTGTGCTTTTCTCAGAAAGCCAAACTATAACATGCAGGAGACACTTGTCCACATACAGAATGAGAGATTTACCCCAAGTAAACTCCAGAAGGCTCAGAATTTGAGTTAACAAATATCTTTCCCGAGGGGATAAAAAACATTTCCCTCTTACTGATAGGCAATTAGCAATTTTAGAGGACACTGTCAACAAGCAAATGGCCTTTTGCCCACAGTTCATCTCTATAAATATAGCCCAGCTCAACAGGGATCAAAAATTGTTCATGTCTAATAAGATGATTGGTATCTTCTCTCTGAGATGAGTTTGGCTGGGCTCAGATCCAGCTCCTGTGGCAGGCAGGATGAAGTGGCAGAGTGTTCAATCACACTCAGTGGAGATGCCCAGGAGGTCACAGGCTGCAGGCTCTGTCCTCTCTCTGCTACTGCCCCAGGTTAGACCTGGAGCAAACTGGCAGAGCAATGCACATCCCTGCAGCCTCACCCAGCCAGCCCTGGGCTCCTCAGCCTTCACCTTCCCACAGCCCAAGGGGCCAGTGCCAAAAACCAGGCATCCTGGAGCTCCCTCTGGGTTCAAAGAGCTTTGGAGACCTCAGTGGAGAAGAGAGGCAAAATCTCACCTCTGCAGCAAGGAGCACAAAACACTTGGGTGCATCCACAACCCCTAGAGCATCCCCACTCTTGCCTCAGCCAGCTTTCTGGGAAGCCCCAAGTGCTCCAAAATGCCCCCATGCCTGTCATTTTCCCAGCTGCCCACCATTAAATAGCTGCAGTGAGTCTGACCCCACATTTCCAACTCATTATGCTGCATCACCACACATTCCTCCCCTTCCTACCTCCAGCACTAAGCCATCATAAAATAATTAGTAGACACAGTGCAATGTCACTAAAAAATAAATAAATGCTGCCTGTGCATTCCTTGTCTGGCTGGCCCTGGCTGCCAGCAAGGGCTGACCTGGAAAAATCACTCCCACCTGTCCCCACCCTGGCAGCAGCCTGGATCAGCAAGAAGCCTAAACCTGCTGGAGTGGGAAATGCTGCCAGTGAAAATGAAGTATTCTGGCATGGGTGAGTGTGCAGGGACCCTGAAGGAATCCAGCAGCAGCACTGCCAGTCACACCAGAGGTGCTCTGGTGGCTGGTTTCCCATCATTTGCCTGATCCTGTCAACATCTCCTGCAACTATCATACAAACTTGCAAAAAATATATATATGATAGTAAAAATTCCAGTCAATATATCCTTTTAATTCGCACCAGATTATATTTTTTAATGCAATTACTGTAATTTCATTAAATGGCATAATTACCATTAATGCAGAGAAAACTGTCAATAGAAGGTGTAATTATGTTGTATAAAATCACAAGCACAATGTGCAATGATGCATAATTCCTCATGAAAATCATTGTGACTAAAATTAACTTTTAAATATTTTAAAAATACATATAATACAGTAAGAATGATTTGGTTTTTACAGATTTCACTTCCACTACCAGCAAAGGGGAAGCAGAGTGGGCAGGGAGTGTTTGCATGCAGAAAGAAGGTTGAAAAATTTTGTTTAAGTGTGCAACAGGAAGGTAAGAAAACAAGTTTTTGTATGCATGAGTGGGAAAAACAAACAGGTTATAATCAGACTTATATGCTGAGTTGTGAGCAGACATTCCCCCAGGCACTTTACACCACACAGTTCTGGCTTTTTGGACACCAGTGATACTGTGTGGAAGTGATGGCTCAATGGAGAAAAGTGTGATGAGGAAGGAGTAAAGAGAACTAGACTAAAACGACAACACTGAGACTGCAAACTGGTAGAAAATTGTCCAAGGTAGGATGTGAAGTGTGTCAGGCACATGAGAAGGACCATACAGGGATGTACTGGACTATGTGACCAGGTATCTTCAAAATAAAGACCTTTTTGTGATGACTGTTTCAAACAAAACACAACATACTGGGTTGAATACAGAGATAACTATACAAGATTAAACAGAAAGGAATGTTTGAAGGTCTTTTTGGTCTTAAAAATCTACAAATCCCCCGAAACACTGAATTGATGAAGAATACACAAAGTGATTAAAGGTGTCTCTTGGTATACAGACACTGTCAATTCTACAGGCAACATTTTTCACGTGGGGGAATATTCCTGATATTCCCAGGCACACACAACCATGTGGGACCATTTTTCACACCAGACAAGCGAAGAGAGGTGAACTGTGAAGAACCCAGAAATCCTATGTGTGACCCTTTCCTCTGACCCAGGATGTTTTCTCTAGCTGTGTAACACCGTTTCCACCAAACCCTTTATGCACAGGGCAAACATCATCAAAAGTGAAATTTTGCTCTTCATCTCACCTCCCTTTCCACCCTCTTTCTTAAACCTCTAAGCTTGAAAAAAATCTGATTTCACATGTGCTTCAGAAGAGCCCAGTGTCCTCTGTGCCTATACAATTAACTCAGATGAAAAATCATCAGATTAAAAGCACAGAACGCTGATGAAAAATGTGATTACATTTTATAGCACAAAAAAATTCATCTACTCACATGTTCTTGGACTGTCTCCTCTCACCATTACATCCTAATAAAGAAATTTACACTGGGATGATGAATCTTATATATGAGAAAACAGAGTGGGAGCATTTTTCTCATTCACTCGTGTCCTGCCTGTACTGTCCTCTGTTTCCTCCCTCTTTACCTGTCCCTCTTTTTCTCACACCCCTAAAGCAGCTGATGTCCTTGTCACACTCACGAGCTGTCGCACTAATGGGGAGGGAAGACTAAAACAGGAAGGTGAAAGATTCCCTGTCCTTGGCTATTGCTGTCCTCTGACAACCTCAGAAATATTTTATCTGTCTGGCAGTGGGTTTTGTCTGATTGCTGAAGAAAACAAGGCTCTGATGATTACACTGTCTGCTTGCCTTCCTCCTCCTCCCTCACTTCATTCCCCCTTGGAAGAAGGGGCATGGGTTACCTGCAGAGAGAAACCAAGGGAAATACCAGATCAAAATGGTAATTGCCAGGGGCCCGAGGGACATCATCTGTAAGGAAAAATAATTCTTAAAAAATGTATTTTCTAGTTTGAGGGCCTAACTGGCATCGAAGCTACCAATGAGAGTTTCATGAACCCAGCTGAAACATGGGCAGAGAAGCTTTGTGCATCCTCCTCACCTCATCTTTTAACCAGCACATAGGAGTGGATTTTCCACACAGACTGGGCAGGGAGGGATCCTGCACCTACCGTGCTGTGTGCATATTTTCAATACTATGAACACTCATGCTGGAAATAGTGAGAGAGAGATATATAATTAGCATTTCATTTTCAGTGCCAGAGCTGAATTATCTCCATGTGAGAAAAATCAGATAGACTTAAATTTTGGGGTTGTAGAATAACCCTGTGGTAATTATTCTTAGAGTTGAGTATTTTTATTCCTTTCCCATTACCCACTTGCTTTCAGGAAACCAGGAGTATTATGGTATCCAGTAAAGATTTATCAACCTGTAACTTGTAACCTGCTCATACTCCTTTTCACTGGGAATAAATTCTTTTTTCTGTAGATCCATTTTCCTACCTTCTTATTTCTCTGCCTCTCCACCCCTTCCAAACTTTTCCTAGGTTTGGAAAACTGAACTTGACAGCTGCAACTTCACAAGCACTTTGGTGAAAAAAGAGTAATCCTCTCAAATATGTGTTTAAATTCCTGCTGTACAGTGATGGCAGGACATGGACACTGGGATTTTACCCTCCCTTTCCAGCCCCAGCATGAACAGCCATCTGATTCCCTTGGACACAACTACAGAATTCCTTTTCACAGCCACTCTTACTTCAGTGAGGTACCAACTACTCTGTTCTCCAGCCATTAACTATATATATCATATCATATCTTCTGAATGAACTTCAAGATAAAGGAAGACATAGAATTAGAAAGAACATACCCTCTTCATCCTACCCACTCATCTGTGTGAGCCATCCCTCTGACCTACAGGGTTAAGACAGCTCCTCTGTCCTTGTTCTGAAGCTTCTTTCAATCAGGATTGGTCTATTTTACCCATCTGTGGCAAGTACACTGAAGTGTTTTCCTTAAAAAAGCCTTTAAGCATCTTACAATTCACAGACAGTAAACACAGGAGAAAATTTAGAGATGTGGATGTTGTATTGCTTAATAAACACTCAACTCAAAAACTTTCTTTCTGCATGCTGGACCACCACAAAACGATTTTTGCAACCTTTAATGGCATGCCAAACATTTCAAGCATGAAGAAAATGTCACACCGCAGAGTAAAGAGCAGGCAAAATCTTTTTGTGCTTGAGTGGATTATGAGAAAACTGCAAATGGGGTGTTTACTACCAAGAGGAAAAAGGAGAGAGATAAAAAGCAGGATAGGCAGGTGGAGAACTTGGCTTTTTGTTTGCAGAGTGCAGCAGAATTCACTGACTGGCCTTCTCCTTTTTTTTTTTTTTCTTTTAAACAATGTATTATTACAGTCAGGAGAATAAATTTGCAACAGGCAATGCCAACACAGGCAGAGCAGGAATTGATAACCTGCAGTGAAGCGAAGCCTCATTGCAATGGAAGATGGAAGGGACAAAACCCATCAGCTCACTGCATCACCAACATCAAAAGCATCTCCCTACATCACCCTCTTGGCCACCACCTCCTGCCTTTCCTACCCCCCAGCTGCCATGTTTCAAATTAAAAATAATTTAAAATTCCAAAGTCGCCACACAATTACAGCCAGTGCATGGAAGCACCACCCACCATGGACATGGACATCCTCAGTGCTGGGTGCAGGGGGTGAACACCTCTGCTCCAAGCAAGGAAAGGCTTTCCTGAAGGTCTAATTTCCACCCCCATCAGGCCCAGTGTGGCCCAAGCTGCCCTGCAGCCACGAAACAACAGCAGCAGAGGAGAACGGGCTTTGTGCTGGTGGGGAGGAAGGCACGGGAACACTCTGGATCTCAGATCATTCAGCCCCATGCAGTAAAAGAAGAAATCCACTTACCACAAATGCTATCAGGCTCTTTACTGTGGACTCCCAGAGAAAGCAGCTCCAAAGGAATTGTATTGTATTCCATATTGCCATGGTGATTTTTTTCACGCGATCAACATTTCTTGATAAGATCTGATAAATATTGAGTGGGAGGAGGGGAGGAGAAGAGGAGTTTAATCAAACACATTAATATCCTACTATTGCTTCAGAAACAGGGATAATTTAAGCTACAAATGCACGCCAGGACACATATTACAAATAAAGCCTCTATTTCAGACACATTCGCCAGCTCCTGTCTGCTTTCTGATTACACCCAAACCTTCCAGATTTTCCTCATCTCTTAAAAATAAAAAAAAAAAAACAACAAGAAAAAAGCTACAAAGTGATGCCAAAACTAAATAAAACAGTTACACATACCTACTTCTATCCTCATTCAATTCTTAAAATACACCAATGTCTCAGGCAAAGGGACAGAGAGAATGTAGTCTGATCCTCTTTTCTACATATTTTGGACTAGTCCATAAAAATAAATAGGGATTTTTATACTTATTATAAGGCCTCTCAATTTTAACAAGAATAATGGCCATTGTTCCTATGGAAAATCCTATGGACTTTTTACATAAGGAATTTAGCTTTTCTTCACAAAGAAGAGGATAAGGCTCTTAAGTGCTGCGAACTGTGCAAAATCCACAGCTATCATTTTCCCCACTCTGAAGCACAAAGCAGAACTACTGATGCAAGCCAGATCAGAAAGCAATTTTGTGTTAACACAAACAAACCTTTTAATATATACAGAAATATACTGAATTTACATGTGTTCGGCATTTTATGCATAAATAGGTTTTGTTCTTGCAACCATGCTACAGCAATTCAAATCTTTCTGAAACAGATGCAGCAGCTTAGCCCAGATACAATTTTCACCTTTTTAGAAAATTTGCGGTTCTCCTCAGTAAAGCGCTTTTCTCGGGGTTTGAATGTTCTAATACTTGCTTTTATCTAGAAAGAAAAAAAAAATACAATAAAAATAACACTATGTAGTTTTAAAGGAGTTGTTTCAGTTTCATAGCACCAGCACTGCTTAGGAAGATTAGGAATTTCAGCATGTCTGAGTCTTTCCAGACTCTGTGTAACATAGGAGCTGCTTTCAATACATATTTTCTACGATGAGGATGGTGAGGCACTGGCACAGGTTGGCCAGAGAGGGTGGATGGAAAAATTCAGGTGGACAGGACTCAGACCAGCCTGCTGTAAGGGACACCCTGCCCATGAGATGAGCTTTGGAAACCAAATCATAGAATGATTCCACGCTAAGGAAAATGCAGACAAGTTAAATTGGGCGAGGCTGAACTCACTTTAGCAGGAGCAGAGCTGTGGCACAGCCCACGGTGGCCTTAATAAATAGGAGTTAAACTCAGTAAAAGGCTGGAGGGCATAAAGGATCAAGACTGACTCAGCCACCTAAAAACTAAGCACTGTGTCCATGCCTCATTAATTTTCCTGTCAACACCCTGGGAAGAGAACATCCTGGGTCAGCTTTTTGGGGGAGAAGTAAGTGTTAAAAGTAATGTATAATAAAATGAACCTGAAGCCCTTTTTTGGCTGTTGCAATTGAAGCCGTGGCTGCAGAATCAGCACCTCCTCCCTAAAGTGCTTGTGGATTATTTGTCCCTCCAGAAATGCCCCTTCTCTGTCCCATCCACCTGGAGGAGCCACAGCTCTGATAGCCCAAATCTTCTTCACTCACAACATCAAACATCCCTCCATCACCAGATGCAATGGGGACACGACTTTTCTGGCTTGGCTCTTGGTTTTAAAAGCATCATCCCCACCTCGTCCTTGCAGATTTGCTATTTTCTTACACCAGTGATAAGCAAAAGAAAATACTTCAACTTACAGGATTAAACAGGACATCCAGCTCCAAGTAAATTACTCCTTTTGAAGCACGTTCCAAGTCCTTATTCTTCAGTGTGTAACAACTTTGTTTACCGTTTCTAATCTATAGTTTAAGGTGGGGAGGGGAGAAAAAGCATCAATATTTTTCCTGGCTGTAATTCTGGATATAATTTAAAGACACTGCAAACAAATAAATAAATAACTAACTCAAGCACAAAAGAATAAAAACCAAAAACTTCCCCCAAACCCTGATAATATACTTGGAGCCTGAAATACAAAACAACTGTTGGATTACAGACCTATAAAATTGCAGATTAAATCTCTTATGGTCCAACTTTAATTTTCAGACCTTGTACTTTATAGTAGAGCAGTGCACGCAATAACCAGTCTGAAAATTCTGCCCTGGAAGCCAGTGAGTTGATGGGAAGTAATCAGCCTCTGTTATTACAAGTTTAAAATGGGATTTTTCTTCCAAAGTTTAGGAAAAGAGCCACAAACAACAACTTTACCTACCTACTGCACACTCCAGTACACGAAACCACTTCTTAATGCTTAGTTTATTGCAATGCTATCAAATTATTACCCAGCAAACAAATGCAATCCAAAGAAATGAATCGGCTGAAGTGGAGCGAATGCTAATGTAACAAATGTTCAAAATTAACTAATTCATGTAAAAGACTTCTCCCCCCCACCCCACCTCTGAATTTCAATACCACTTCTCTGCTCTGATCAACCGGTTGGCCCTATCTCATTAAGCATCTATTAAAAAAAAAACAAAAAACAACCAGCCCAAAACCAAAATACCTTCCTTGCCATTTTGTAAACTATTTGGCTCAAAGCAAAAACATTCTCTCTTCAAAAATGATGGCAGAAATGTATTTATTATACACAGTAGGATATGTATTGATTAAACATTTGGCATTTTAGGAAGCAGACCAGTTAATTCTAAACAGCAGTAACATAAAAAACTGCAGCTTACCAAAAAGCTATATTGAGGGACTGTAATGATCAAAGATTAAAGATAACGGAGGAAATTTGGGGGCATGAAATTGCAACCATATTTAAAATGGCTATTGCTGCTCTGGCATTTAGAAGAGGCACTCATATAAACCATGGTAAAAATAAGTAAGGAAAAAAAAAAAGAAGGTGTAATAGGAACAAAGTGATTTCACAAGACAAGGGAAAGGTCACTTTCTTTCCCAATGTTGCTCCATCCTTTCTATACCAAAACAGCTTGTCAAAGGATAGATGGGATTTCTGCCTAAGGCTTGAAGGGGAAGAGGGATCTCACAAGGACCAATTTTGCATCCTCAGTGGTTTATGGCAAGGAACTCCAACTACTTCCTATTTTTCCATCCAAAGCTTTACAGTTACAGAGACCGATGTGGAATTAATCAATAATAAATAAGAAAACAATAACACTAAACTGGTCACAAAGCACCTCTGCTTTCACCACAAGAGAGCACACACAGTGCTGGAGCTGGATGCTGCAGCTCTCAGGAAAGGGGCAGGTGAAAAACCATTTTGCAGTCCTGCAGACTCAAAACAGAAGAGCTGCCAAAGTGATTAGACCCTCTTCTAGGGCCAAATGGACTGGCATCAGAAGGTCCTCGGGCCACATGCCATATACAGCATTGTCAGCCCATCAGAAAGGTTTCTGCTTTCTCACCAGTTTACTTTGCCCCCCTTCAAAAGGAAAAAAAGGCAAAAAAATATAAATTTACTGAATGAAAACTAAATTTTGTTTGGAAAATAGTGAATTTGTTAAATTTTACAAATTAAAGGAGAAATGGTTTTACTGATGGCAGGGTTACTGAGACAGAAGAATTTGGTTTGATGTTGTCGAGGGTGCCCCAGCAACAGGTTTAGCCTGAGCTTTGATTCACGGATTCTGCTGTGACAGGATAGAATGTACTTTATACCCAGTGTGCCTGCAGAGATGCAGATGTCCAGTGTGTTTCACAATATCCTAATTCTGGATTCTCCATGGTTATTAATTTTGGAGCTGCATTTCCTTGTATTTCAGGTACACATATTTCTTATCACGTTTCAGCCATTTACACCAGAAGCAACAGCTAGTGGGAATGCCTCTTTATATTCTTTGGGATATATTTCTTTCTTACATCTTTCAAGAGCATAACCCTCAAGGAAAGGAAATGTGCCACAGAGCTAAATTGGTAGAAAAAGGAAAAGAAATGTTTCTAAGTATTTGAGCCTGGATACTGTGGTATCCTGCACTCCAAAAAAATGCTTTGGGGAAAAGACTCGTTATTTTAAGAGCTGGAGCTGAATCAAACATTTTGGGCGTGTCTGCAGGTGTTTTCAAACAGTAAGTTTTAAATCAGCAATAAGTAGTTTCCACCTCTGTATTTGTAAATAGGGGTTGCTTGGGAAATTTCTTGAATGGTGTCATTATTATTGTTGCTGCTATTCTTAAATAGAACAGAGCAGGAAGTAATGCAGTGCAAATAAAGTTTTACGGTCAGATTTATTTGGTATATTTAATTCTAAGTGTTCAAACTGTCTGGGAAAAGATGTGCAATTATAACTCAGCCTAGAACTAAACATTCATGCAGATATTTTAGCTTTAGGCTCTCTTCAGAGGGAAAAAGGCACAAGAGAAGAACGGCAGGCAATGAAATGGCCTGTCTCCATTGTATTTTCATTTGGATAAAAAGGAAAAAAAAAAAACCTAAAAAATAAGTCAAACAAAAGACTCCCTTACAGTTTTGGCACCATGCTAGGGCAGTGTGGTTCCACAAAAGGTACAGGGTAATTCTAAGACCCATGACTGCATGGAGATTACACTGGTGACATGTCTCAACTGTGCTCACAAGAAAACATGCAAAAGAGCCTTAAATACTCCTCATTTTCATTGCATCCTGCTCTTGGGGCTGAGTTCAGATTCTTTTCAGCTTTTCCCCTAACTTGAGGGACAGACAGTTACAATAATTTAATTTTGCATCTATTTCTTTCTGCTCTCTGGGTACTTTCCCCCAGTCTCTGCCATTCCCAAAGACTGCTTAAATGCTCTCTCCAGCTGTGCAAAGGAGCAGCCAGGACTGGGGTCATAGGATGAACCTCAGTGTCAGAAAGATCAGGTTTCTTCTGTCACCCAAACACCTTTTGCTACAAACCTGATGATGCCACAGGGGTTTGACTCAATGAGTAGTTCTGGTATCTGGGTCTAAAATAGCTTATCTACTTATGGGAAAGGCAAGGGAAAGGAATATTCAAATTAAATGTGAAAATATCTGCAGATAAGCACCTTAAAAGAGACATAATCAATATTATTCATTTATTGATGATGCTTTATATCCTCAATGAATACTAATGCCTGTATTCTCTGAAAGCTTCTTAATAGCTTACTGGGGCTCAACCACCAAGCAAGACTGCCCATAACCCTGGGATTAACATGAGAACAGCAGTGCCTACCACATCCACATGCTGCATTTCGCAAGGTCATCATCAGAAAAATCGTCTGGATTTTCATCCCATGGGAATTTCTGATACTTGGGACATTTCCCTCTTCTGAGTCAACACAGAAAGACAAAACCATACCCATATTTTCACAGAAAAAAGCTGTATATTCTGTGTCACATCCCTTCTCCATACAGGACCACAAAAAGGAAATTATTACTCGGAAGAAAAGCTGAAATTCTTTTTTGCAATAAATATTTTCACAGAGGCACTTGAGGCAAAAAACTCCCTGAAGTTGCCTCTAACTGAAGGGAATGTTGAGGTACACGAGACCACCATCCAGTCAAGGTCCAAAGTGCACCAGGTTCCTCTCAAATGAATGAATATATTTGCTAAACTCTTCGCACAGATGTCCCCAGTAAAACAAATGTGACTAAACACAGTATTGATGTAGCCAGCCAATGCTAAATCTATTAAGCAACAACCTTCTGACCGCTTGGGAATTTTAATGAAATAGCAAAAGCCAAGATTGATATGACACAAAACACAGAGAAGACAGGACCCTTACGCAGCAAAGCGTGTTTTTTCATTGCTCTTGTCTTAAAGAAATATGGTTTAGAGGCTTTTTTTTTACATTGATTTTAAGAAAACTTCACTCTGTATCCAGCTTTGATGCAGATTCAATGTCATATATTGATGACCTGACAGAAGAACGCTGGGTTAAACCTCTGTACATCAACACCCGTGACGTGTGGAGAGGGTAATGGCTACTCTCCAAGGGTAATTCATCTAAAGCATTTGGGACCTCTGATACTCCTGCTTGAGCTCATTGCTGATGCACAATGTCATCCCATTTGCCCTGCATAACATAAAGCTGTCTTGTAATAGACACACACCTCCCCTTATCAAAGGACGTGTTTCCCCAGGAAAAGATGAAAGCAAGCCACATATTTGATCCACCTGTATGTGAATAAAGAGGATTTTGTTCCTCCCTAGTCTTGCCATATGCACCAAACCAATGTTGTACAAAATGCCTGTTCTTTCACCCCAAAACATTTTACCCCAAACACTTTGAATAACCTTCTGTGGGATCCAAAGTGGAACGGAGATTTGGGTTTTTGGCAGAGGACTGATATCCAAAGACGAAAGAGATATGGAGTTAATGGACTGAAAGAAAGCAGGCAGGGCTTTCAAATGAGGGCTTTGAGCCTGTCTGAGGAGGAGCTAAAAACCCTGGGAACACAAGGATCCTAGGTGATACTTGAGACAGCATCCCTGTTGATACCTTTTCAGTGAGTAGCGAGTGGCTGGGGAAGAATTAATGTCGGAAACAAGACCCTGTTTTCCCTGGAAGAGATGTGGGGGTTTTTTTCCCATCCCTAAAATCCTGGTTCATGATCAGGATAAAAGTCAGAACAGACAGCACACTTCACAGCTGCCTCCATTGCATAAACACAGCGATTTCCCTTTTCTCAAACTCTAAAACTTTCTCCTGGAAAGGACTGTGCACTTGTGGTCAAGTGCTAAGTAAGTGCAATGCTCAGGTGTCTGCTCTCTGAATCCAGGCCATCCTGTAGACCATTAAGCTTGCCAAAGGCACACTCCTTGTTTTCAGTGTATCGTTGGCTACTGACCTTGCCTGGCACTTGAGAATATTTCACAGACCTCTTCCTGTTGGCTGGAAAAAAAGGGTGCAGCTGAGGACTACTCTGACCTGATAATCCAGCAGATAAAAAATATTCCATTCTGTGCTACAACTCTTCACTCAAAGGCCTTTCTACATGAGGATATTTGATATACTCTGCTTTCAAATTCATTGAAGCACACTATATGCTCCCATGTCTCTAATAACTTGCAGCCTTCTAGAAGACAGGAGTCTCTTGAAGCAGAAGAAAAAAGACAGACCCTCACAAAGAGACACACGGTTGCCTTTACTAAGATCTAGGACACAAAGGAACACAGAGATAGAAAGGACTTCTTTGATAATTAGTTCAAGTCCCCCAGAACCTACAAAACTTCTAAAACCTATCAAACTTCTTTCTTGAAGTAATAAAGTTTTTGCCCTACTTCTCTGCTCCCCAGGTTCTTCTCCAGTTTCTGGCACAAAAGCCTGCACTGTTCAGAGCTCATGGGCTTCCCTTGCACTCCCCATGCCCCAGGATCTCCCTGCCAGCCCAAGGCTTGGCCAAGCCATACTCTATGGGCTACCTCTGCAAGAGAAGGATCCACTGCACTGGATACCATGGTAGCACTAATTTGTGTCTTTTCTAGAGTAAATTGTGAATGTGGCTGACCAGAGCAGTGTCTGAGATGAGGTCTCACACATGCTTTAGAGGAGGACAGTAATTTGACAAAAAGAACAGGAGAAAAGAAGTACAATAGGTTGATCAACATGGAAAAGTTAAAGCCAAACTACAAACTTCTCTCTCTCTGTTTTGCTCCCCAAATTCAGTTTATTGCTAGCAAAATGTGCATTTATCCAATTCTGCTTTATCACATCTACCAGAATGTGAAGTTTGCAGCTTTATTCATCATTTGGCACCTTAAAACTCTTCTCATGCTGCCCAGCTTTTTATTTTTCTTATTTGGTTCCTGCTGTAATCCTAGATCACAGTCAAGGATGAACGGAAAGAATACATAATTTCACCATCCCTGAATTTTTGTGCCATAAGGTTATTCCTGTGTTAATGTGATGATGAGGGTGTAGTCATGTTTGCAAAATGCCAGTGTGGGACTACTGAACACATTTAACCCAAAATTTGGTGTCATATTAATTAAACATTTCACATCCCTCCAACATACACTTTATTCAAGGCAATTTTTCATTAAGAAAAGAATCTAGTCATCCATGAACAATTCCTGAAGTAAACTTACTTCACGTGCTGACAGCTCATAAGTCAAACTTGTGCATTTTTAGCAGGAAGAAGAATGGCAAAAGCACATCTATTTTCAAAAGACAATTCAATGCCAGGCAAATATTAGGCCTGATTACATACAGAAATTAAACCTACATGATTGTGAGGCTTCCTTGAGTCTTTAACTTTTGTTCTCTTTTAGTATATTTATCTAAATGGTTCAAAGGATACATTCAAAGTTACAGTTAAAATGACAACATACATTGAAATTCCCATTTGAAGAAAAAGAGCTTAGAAAATTACAGTTCTCTCTCTGAGCAGACCAAGTTAATAGGTGCAAAATGTTTTTAATCAGAAGCAGAGATGAGTATATTTACACTAGATTTGACTGAAATAGGAGGCAGAGAAGTTTGGATGGGAAGGAAGAAGATCAGTTGGCAAGGGAAAGCATAAACAACTTTTATTTTATTTTTTTTGTTCCAAACCTTGGACACAGAAAAACCTACACTGCATAGTTTGGACATTACCACACACATGCACTCCCCTCCTCTGCCTTGTTACATGCTTCCTAAGGGATACTTGACAAATGCCTATAAAATCAACAGAAAATCCAAATCTAACATCTTCTCACTGTGAGCCCACACAGCCTGCTGCCGATCATGCAGGCCATTTGGCAAGCACTGGGTCTGCAGGAGAGCAGCTGCTCCAGCCACTCTCTTCCAGTAACATCAGAGATACGAGGACTTGGGGAGAAATTAACAAAGTGATCAAAAATGGAATAAAAGATGTTAAGAGGTTTTTTCCTCCCTGTAAACATCAAATAATCCTCCATGCCCAACTGACTCTAATATTATTCTAAAATAGGAGATATTGACAACTCAAGCTACGAAAATAGATGGACAATCTAAAATATCCCCAAAAAGATCACGTAGTCTGAGCCACAGAGGAAAAGCATTGTAAAGCTCACAGCAGCACGTGGGCCACTGAAAGCTCAGTATTTACTCCTGTATCTTAGACTCTGTAGATCCCCAAATTGCTGGGGTTCCCCTGTTTCAGACATCAGTGTGAACAGCACAGGATGAATGAAAGCATACACACTTTTGTGAAGAGATTCAGAAGCCACATTGCTTTTAATTCACCCATACAAGAAATACACTTATTTAGTCAAAATCACAACAAAACTGGAGCACATAGACCTATTTCTTTACCACTATAAAGCATTCTTTAGTTTGGGATCATATCCTCTAAGTCAGTTCAAGAGTTTTCTGGGCAGTTCATTATTTATTTGGAAATACCAAATGTTTCAGTCCCCTCTGCGATCTTGACTGTTCCCTTACCTAAACTGTGCTGATGCTGTGAGGCTTATATGATCTGCTTTGATCAGATAGGACCTTTGCTTTCCCCCTAGAAATCTCCCATTTCTCCAGTCTCTGCTGGGACAGAGCCCCACAAATCCATCACTGCCTTTCCTGCAGAAGCCGATCTCTGAAACCCAAAGACAAGTGCTTGCCTTAGCCCTGGAAGATGTGTGCCTGCCTTTCTGCAGAGGTGAATCTGCTTTCACAGGGATGTTTCAAAACAAGACTGCAATTTTGTACTCAGCAGCTTCAATGAGGATCCACCATCTGCCTATTTGAGAGTGCTATTACCCACAGCATCACACCGAGCATTACCAAAAGCATCTCACCACAGCCTGTGCTGCTGGAATCAGGTTATATGTGGAAAGCATAAATGTCATCATAGAATATCCTGACTTGAAAGGGACTCACAAGGATCCTTGAGTCCAAATCCTGCACGGGACAGCCCCGAGAATCACACCACGATGTTTGCAGAACAAATCATCACCCCAGACGTTTGCACAGGGCTCAACTGTACAAATAGTTGTCACAGCCTCCCCGTGGCCCAGGGAAGTTCCTGCAAAGCATCACTGCCTCACAACTCACAGAAACCCCCATGCTTACAGCTAAACGTGTTTGCACAACTTGGCTCATATGACACAAGAGTCCCATGATGTTTCAAGCCGCATCTACTCATTGATTTAATAAGTCACAGCCTAGGAAGTTCTTCCTACACATTACTGTAAAAGCTACCAGAACCTTCTGTGGCACTGCACATGCACATGGAGCTGTTTACGTCCTCTTGATCTGGTTTGCTCGCCATTACTACCAGTCTTGTTTCAAAATTAAATCAGTCTTACCAAACACAAAGCTGCTTTCCCCCCATTCCTCTATTAAAGTCTTTTAATGATCCTTTCATGTTCCACTCTCTTTAGCTTGGCCTTTTTTGGCTGTTTCTGAAAAAGCTTCAACTCTCCTTAATCTCCAGAGCAACCACTTTCCCCTGAGCTCGCTTTGTTTCCAGTTTTGATTTTATACTCCCATGGTAGCGCTCACTCCTCACATATTTGTTTACAGAACAAAAGCCACCAGTCTTTAAAAGCACTATGGAGTGGAAAACACCCCTTTTAGGTAATTTCATTCAGCTGTGCCAATAACAACAGCTATCTCTAGTCAATCCTACTGCGATGTGCAATTACTTTCTTGGAGTAAAAAGAAGCAAGACGGAACAAAGACATGCTTAAAATGTTACCTTCAGAAGACGGTGTGGAAACACACAGAACAACTCAATTATGTTTTCAGACCTACGTGGCAATGATGAAGTAAGGACATTTCTGCAATTTGCTTTCCAATCAACCGAATTTGTACTAAGATGGGTTGACAGTGCTTGTTACACAAAGGAGAACTATAAACACTGTCAACTAAGGCATGTACACATCACAAAACCTGTTTACATCTGTGGGGTTTTGTGCTACAGGGGAAAAACAACGCACTTTGTTCCCAGCCAACCATGATACATGTGATAAAGGTAACTTACAGACAGCAAAGGGATGGCAACTTTTCCAAGGAAGTCAGGGGGTTTATCTCCATCTTCATCAAACACTGTCACTTCCAGAACATCATGAATATCTTTAATAGGGCTGGAACAAAAAAAAGCACAGACACATAAAAAATAATATTCAATACACATGCACACAGTCTGCTCCACAAAGATCTGAGACTACTATTTTACTAATTAAGTTTGTATTACCTTGGGGTATATAACTAGCATTTAATTAAATTCCCCCCCAAAACGAATCAAGTGATGGGTATTCCCCAAGCTTTGCCCTCATGATTCAGTTGCATAACTAGGTGAAGAAACTACCAGAGAGTGACTTTTGGTACTTTTTGTATTTGTGATGCTATCAATGTAAAACTCAGCTCTCCAACAGAGAATTCTGGTGGCTGGAGAGGTCAGGGGCTGAATTCAACCCAAGTTTCATTGCATTAAAACTGCACAGTGACACACACAGAGAAGTGTGCTGCAGAAAACCTGGATATAATGGGGAGGGCTTCCTAGTGGTAATGAAAGCTCCAGCTGTAATGGACTCATCCACCCAAAACAATCCACACTGCTCCAAAATAAATTTAAATCGTCAATAGCTTTTAAGGGGCTTAATTATTTCTTTTTTTTAATGGACAAAAATATAAGGAGATGAGAGTGCCTGACTGTCTCTACAGATTTGGTGCTTGGATTAGCCAGGCAACATTAGTAAAAAAATTAAAGAGAGTCCATAGCTGACATTTCTGAGACCCACAGGAAGTACAGACACAAACTTTCTTTTTAAATAAAATAAATTTGGATTGTTATTGGATTTATTTTGCTGGCTGAACATCCGACAAGACTCATCTGCTGGTACAGTCTCAGAAAAAACAGTGATGAGTGGAAGTTACTTGAGAACAAAGTATGAGAAAGGACTCCAAGAAACAAGCATTCAGCTGTGTCCCTGAATTAAACAGAAATCCAGCAAAGTACTTCTATTAAAGAAATCAGATAGTTTCTCTTGTGTTCTCATTCAGCCTAGTATTTATGAATGTTGCTTTAGCAAGAAGTTCATAATTTTCAAACTGTTCTTCCAGTGGACAGATGCAAATGTCACAAGTGCTTCATTGCCAGCCTTTGCATAGACTGCTGCAGTCTTGGGAGACGTTTATCTCACTCACTTATTCACAAAAATCTTTGTCAGCATAAAGTAAGATTAAAAAATTGAGCTGCCTAAAAGCAATACCTAAATTATAACTTTTATTATTAATAAAGTGACAAATAAAAGAATACCTTGATTTTCATAAAAATTTAAGCATCTAATTTGGAACATGTTTGACTAGTTTAAATTCAGAAGATATACCAAAACCGATGTGAGCTCTAATTCTCTGCTTACTTCAAATTAAACAAGGATTCTACCAAGGTTCAATGAAACATATTTTATTTTAAGTTACGGAAAATGTAGGCGTGAGTATCTGGTCTCAACTTTCTGTTACATTATCTCTTGGATCAAGCTATGACTCCATTATGTCTAGTCATGATTCTTCCTATAAATATCACAGTAATTTTTCTTTTAATGACTTCTATTAATAAACTCCATGCAAGAACTAGTAAAAGGCAAAAGGCTTTAATTAAGTTATATTTGATATTTCTCCAGCATCCTCTCTGACTATGAAAAAAGTGACATATTTTAAACTTGACCTTTGTATTTTCCCAAAGTCAATAGCTTTCCTAGTTGAGCTGCTAACTGGAGTTGCTGCATGGTTTCCAAAGCAATCCACTTACAATGTGAAAACTTTGTTCCACTCTGGATTGAGGTTCTTGTAAACGGTGTGTGTTTGAAGCATGTCATTTCCCAGCTCCAAGACACAGAAAGGATCACTTTTGCCTAGGGAAATAAAAGAAAATTAAGTAGACCAGTTATGGCATTTAGTATGCAGACTCTTTCTTTGCAGTAGGGCTGAGGAAGTGATTGGTTAAATAAAATTAGATCCATTAAAGCAACTGTGAACTGCCCCGTTCTGTTGGAATTATTCACCAAAAAACCAATATTTCTGATCATCCCCAGTCCTGGAAACTCCAACACTTACCTTACAGCTCACTCAGGGGGCTTCACTCTAATACCTGAAATCTTGAGACTTTCAGTGAATCATCTCTCGGTCTTTATAGCAAGAAAGATCTGTTCATGTTGACAATTACTCAGATGCCCTTAGGAAAGCAGCACCATTGCTCTGAGCCAGGGAAGGAGCAGTGCTGCAGTTACACTCCCTATTTTATCCTCTGCTTACAGCCTGTGGTCTTCTTCAGTTGATTATAGGATTAAGTATCCACATCATGAGAAAAGAAGCACAACACTGACTGAAATCAGAAGCATCTCTTCAATTAGTTCCATGTGAGCAAGTCCATGAAGCTATGAAGTCTCAATGCCATGTCACAGTTTAAACAAAACCCAACATCAACTGGAGAATCCGTGCATGATCCAGATATTGTACTTACAGCAAACAAACTGAGCAAACTCCCCAAAACAAAACAGGTAAAAAAAAACAACCCCTCCTCTCTAAAGAAAGATGTCAACATGGACTCTATTAGGTGAACACGTTTGCTAATATATTTCTTGATCACTCACATTAAATGAATTTGTAGTTTTCCTAACTCATTGCAGCTCAGCAGTTTCCTTTGTGAGCAGAGTGGCCACTTATCAGCATGTCTGGCTTAGTAGTTGATTTAATCTCATCTCCAATGTTCATGTACAACTCGGCCACAGACACTCCAGCCTAACTTCTATGTAGGCATCTAAATATGTCAGCAATGCAGGGATTTAGATACCAGAAAAACAAGTTATTTAAGCAAAAACTGTCCTTTTCTTAATCCTTATTTTCTGTCTTATTAATGCAGAGCTTTTAAGGGTCTTACTCTCAGAAGTTTATAAACTAAACAGGAATCTTTCCAGTATGTAAACAATGGGTATTAACTAGTCAATATTGGTAAAGTTTAAAGACCATGTGTATTACTGGAATCTATTTGTCTTCTCCTTTTCAGCTTACATGCGCATTCCCTGATAAGTGTGGAAAATGCATGTAGCCTTTCAGAAAAACTGCTTGAAATGCAAACTGGTATATGCCAAAAACAATCCCACTGTATAATTTGGTATTCTGAATGCTATTTTTTGGTCAGTGAGCAAATGCAGTGTTTGAGAAGAACTCTCATGCGTACACAGAAAACATCCAACAAAGCAGAAAAAGTCATTTCCACGTCAACAGAACTATTATCTAGGAATATAAAAGTATAGAAGGCTCAGACTGGGTAGATGTGGCTAAAGAGCTTCTACATATATGATACAGCTGTCTGGAAACCAGCCCAAAAATTTATGTCCAAGAGTAAAATATGGATTTTCAGAACAGTGTTCAAAACCGCAGCAGATAGTGTATGTTTTCTGATCACTATTATTACAGCAAGCTAAAAACTTGCAATTAAATCTATTGATGACAATATACAAGCAACTGACAGAAATCCCAATTACATCAAAATCCTATCTTTACTGTGGGAATAAGGTACAAGGTGGCATTACACTCACCATACCCACTGGTCTGCAGGACTTGGGGGATTCAAGACTCGTGACTGCTACAGGAAGGGACAGAGAGGGGACACCACCTGCTCACACTGCTCCTCTATTAACCCTTGGAAATCTTTGTACCTCTGATTCCCTCTGTGATTTTCCCTTTATTAGATTTTTAGCTGGGACTTTGAATTTACTTTTATCAATAACAATAAATCTGAGCAGTCTCCTTGGCAATGCAGGAAATATGGCACTGCTCTAGGAGGGCTCTATTATGGAAGCCCATAATTGCTGCACTAATCATTTATGAATGGCTCAGAACAGATAATTAATCTTTATGTCTCTCATTTCATGATCAGAAATTATGCTATTTTTACCTAAAATGGCTGCATCCTTTTGCAATTTGGTGGGTCTATTACAGCATAATACTAGGATATTTTCAGCACTGCCATTGAAAAACAATTTGTCATTTGCTTCATGAATCAGGCTCAAAGCCTGGGTTATTTTGAATATAATGACAGACTGAGTAACCTTTTACTTAAGCAGAATTTCATTCTGTGCTATGCACAAGGAATGTGTGTCACATACTCTATATGAAAAGTCTTTGAATTGCAGAATCAAGAACCTGTGTGTCTCTTCCAATGTTCATTATCCACCCACATGCTCCTGTTTGAGTACTGAGGGAGAAGGGGCCAAATCCATCACTGATGCAACTGCTTTAGCATCAGCAAAGTTTTCCAGAGGGTAAATAACCTTCTGGGCTCAGCTCTTTCCATGAATTCTGTCTATATTAAAACCTCACATATTTCTAGATGGAACTTTTGGCACATGGCAAAGCTGGGGCTGCTCTGCTGTGCTACACTTACTAAATTAAATTAGTCAGCAAGGTGCAGTTACATTCCTAATTCCATATGGCCCTATACATTATGTCAATTTAGTTTCTTTACAGGTTACTTTTTGTTACTGACAGGTTTTGGCTTGATTTGGTATTTTTTTTCAAATTAAATTCTTCAGTTCCTTAAAGTACTGCTTACTGCAGTAAACATTTTTTTCCAATTCAGGGTTAAGCAGTGAATTGAAAATAGCCTTAAAATAGTTCCATGATTAATTGTGGGTTTTCTCCTTTGCTCCTTTTTTTAGGAGCAGCATTCTCTTATGTAACAAATACGAGGGAATGGAGCAAGAATGTTTTCTCTCTACCATCTTTCCTGCCTTTATCAACAAGTTATCTTAAAAAAACGACGATGTCAGCAAATACACAACACACAATGCTGTGCCTGTGAATTATGAGCTGCTGTGAGATAGAGAGGGGAATTAAAAGGTCTCCAGAATCCTGGAGAAGATGATAATAAAAATAATAATATCCAGGCAGTCGCTACAGAGAAGTATCAACCTCCTAGACTTTCCCCAGAGGTACAATATAAAGCTGTGGTTTTAAAAGGTGTAAGTGTCCACTGCTGTCAGGACCAAGCACAACCTGAGGAACAGCTCAGTGGAAAATCCATACTTTTCATGGACTAAGAGCACCAAAAAGGTCATCCCAAACTGAAGCCTCAAATAAGCTCTAAGAGAAAGCATCACACTCGCAGCCCCATTGCTGACAAGCTTTCTCTTTCAGGTGACAGCCTGCAGCATCACCCAAACCCACACACCCAGCACCACATCAGACACCCCAAAATCTTTCAGTCTTGCTCCAAACTCACAAGACACCTGATAGAAGATGGAGAGGCTTTGCTTTGCAGGTGCTTTGCAGGCACCACTGCTTTGTGTCAACTCTTAGTTTACATACTCCTGATGGAAAAAGCACTTAGCATGATGTGCTGTTGTAAAGTTATCTGTCAGATTGCTCAGGTCTAATGGGAAATTAAGATCTCCATCCACTGGACCTTCCCACATACTTTAGGCAGTCAAAGCCATTTGGTGTGTCAGTTCCCTGAGGCAGGTTTCAGTGCTGGAGAGATGATGGGATGATTTACTTTTCCTCTATCAACTGACAGTACTGCACAAAGTCTATAATTTGCAATATATTATAGCATCATATGCTGCAAAATAGAAATAAAATACCTGAAAAATCTGCTGCCATCAGGTCCACTGCCTTTAAAACTTTGACTTGTAAGAAGCCAATGTCCTTTATGTCCCGAAATGAATTCTTTATACACTGCAAGAAGAAAAGCACAAAGATGTATTTTGCTTGTAATTCAGTAAGAAACAGAGACTATTTGACCACCAAATAACTTATCACAGAATCAGTTAGGTTGGAAATAACCTCTAAGATCATCAAGTTGAACAATTAACCAGCACTGCCATGCCCATCACTAAACCATACCCCCAAATGCTACATCTACCTGTCTTTTAAATATTCCAGCACTGATGACTCAACCACTTCCCTGGGCAGCCTGTTCCAATGTTGAAAACCCTTTTGGTGAAGAAATGTTTCCTAATATCCAGTGTAAACCTCCCCTGGCACAACTTGAGATACATTTATTCCTTCCTAACTAGCTTTTGAGGATGTGGAAGCCACAAAGTTTTATCTCTCAACATTTGAAACTCCAGAAAATAACCTCCCCAAAGGAGGGAATAAAGTTAAGTATATTATTATCTCTTCATGATATTCAGTGTGTCATTCCCCATGATAATCTCGTAATACAATTCAAGTTTGCAAAGAACATTAGTTTAAAACTCAACAAATACAAACAGCCAAATTGCTTGGGTCTGTCTGCCCTGCCAATATCCCTGTCATTCAAAACACAACTACTCCATTTAATAGGTTTCTTTGCTAGGGGGCATGTTATTATGACTGGAGAAATTTTTTTCTGCAATTTTGACTATTTCAAAAGAAAAAAAAAAAAAAAAAAAAAAAAAAAAAAAAAAAAAAAAGACAAACTCACATAACGCTGAGAAATCTGCTGTCGTTCATTGGGGTCTCCCAAAGGACAGACACACAGATCAGAGATGGACACTCCTGTACATGGGGCAACAGCAATCAGCATCAGCAGGGACCCTGGATGTTTTTCCAGAGGCAGCTCCAAGCAGTTGGTCTGCTTTGCTGGCAGGGCAGTAATGTCAACGTGGCATCTGGAACAACATTGCCAAGGAAAAGGAGATGGTAAAAAAAAAAATAAAGCAACATTTATATTGATTTCAGCAATAAGCAGGCACCAAAACTTACTGTTTCTTCAGGATAGAAAGAGTGCAAAAAAAAATCATCCCAAAATCAAACACGGGAAACCAATCAGGCAGATTCTATTGCAATTACTGTAAGATTTTGCTTTCTGGTCTGTCTACTGGTAAGGAGAGGTAAAAGGTTTGGGCTGCAAGTACAGAAGGAAAACTTAACTCTGGCCTGCCTCACTTCTCCTCTAAAATCCCCCAGTGTTTTGCGATGGATTTGAAACACAATTTTATTTCACCTGGGGGAAAAGGGGCAAATGCAAAATTTAAAACATTAGCCTAAAATAGATTCGTTTCTTTAAAGTCACATACTCCATTTTATGCTACATTATACTGTATGCCCCAATCTCTTTTACAAGCCTTACTAGAGCTACATTTTCAGTGTACTGTTATATTTCCCAAAGGGAAGGATTGTCTTAAAAGTCCCCCCCACCCACTCCTTGCACTTAATATGTATCATTATCCTCATACTTCCCCAAAAAATAAAAATAAAGAGGATAAAAGAGAAACATTCATAAAGAGACAACAATAAAATATGGGTATGGGCTAAAGCAGAGGGATCACCAGGCAGCCAGTAACACATGAAGGGAGTGGTTAAATGCAACAAAAAGTCTAATCACTTGGCTTAGCTAAATGTCTTCTATTTAGAAGTCCAGTAAATGGAGTGGAACTTTCTTGAACCTCTGTGGGGCTTGGCTTGTAAGAACAGGTTGAACAAAAGTTACAGATGAAAAGAGGGTAAAAAGCAAAAAATAAATAAAGAAAGGAGAAGGTTTGCTGCCACACTACAAGAGGAGGAACATTCCTCAAAGGGACGGGCAGTGGATGATGGAGAGTGAGGGGTTTTGCTTCACTTAATGCCTGCCGACAAGTTTTTATTTAAACTAAACTTGTTAAGGTGTTGTCTTAATAGGCTAAAATTCCACAGGGTTCCCCCAGGTGGGTTTCTTCTGGGTAAATGGTGCATGTAGTGCTCCTGATTGATCCCATTCCAGTAGTAGAGCTGGAGCAGTTTATGCCCATCTGCTATAAATTGCATGCTTTCCGCTTCTTAACAGCCTATTTTCTGTGAATGCTAAAGGGGGTGAAAAAAAAAAGAAAAAAAGAGAAAAATCTCAAAACGTTTCAGCCTGAGAACCCAAGAAACCATGCTATGAAGTAAAAGCCAATGCTCTGATGAGTTTCTAAGTTGTCCAGTACCTCCATGTACTAAAACACAACTCCTTAAGCCTCCTCTGACCACAATCAACAGGAATGACTTTGCCTTAAGTGTGCTCTTTTCTCTCCACTGCTCTGGAAGTACAACAGGTCCCAAGTTTACTCTTATTAACTGCTTTCAAGAGCTTTGAAAGAGAAGGAAAATAAACCAGGCAGAGTACCAAGAAGGCTCGGCACGTAGGCTGCCTCTCAACACCATTTCCAAGTGTGAGAGGTTGCATTTAAAGCTCATTGCTACGCCTAGACTCTTCAGAAAAATATGTCAGGAAAAGTTACAGCAGGAAGGAAAACAAAACAACAAAGAGAGCAAAAAAAGACCTTATTTCTTTCTGAGAAAAAGCCCTTATCACTTTCCATACTGGAGGTCAACATCACCTTGGCTGCATTAACACCAGTGTGTCTCAGGCTGCAGCAGTTCCAGTGATACTTTGGGTATCAGCACAAAAGGGGGGATGTATCCTTATCTTGGAGTTTAGTATTTTGTTGTTGGTTTTAGGTGGGTGTTTGTTTTTTTTCTTTCCTAGATGCAGAAACTGAAGGAAGGAGAGGGGAAACTCAAGGTCATCCAGCTGGTCTGTGGTTCAGCTGGCAACAGAGGCCATGTCTCCCACATCAGCATTTCATACACCACCCACTCAACACAGGCCACAACTGGGAAAAGCTGCAGTTGCTTTTTATGTTTAAAATTTTCCATGGAGTAAGACAGAAAACACAACTTGTTCAGATAACAATGCATCTCCCACCAATAGACAACCTCAAACTCCATCATATGTCAAAGTTAAATATAATTCTATCTTGTTTTGGCAAACTGGAATTGTTTCTCTTCTTAAAAGAATTGGATTCTCATAAGGTCAAAGAAAGGATGGAGCATAAGGGTGTGGGGGGTTGGAGGGATGCACATGTTGAGGGGAAAACAGCAGGAGGTGGAGTGTAAGTATTTCTTCCTCAAATCATGTCAGATTTCTGTGCAAACTAACTTTCCTTAAAACATCTGTGTTCACTCAAGGTATGCCTGTATTTTCTTGTGAAGAGCTGAAAAAAAATCCCACATTTGCACTGGCAAAAGACTTAAGAAAAAACAAAAAAAGGACAATCTGTCTCATTTAGGTTATACAACATAATTGATCACACTGCAATAGAGAATGCAGTTTCGTAAAATAATTAGACATTCAATTTACTATATAAATTCAGCAATTTCCACACTAACACTTATACACTATTAAAATGAGTCTAATGATTTCCAAACTACTTCCCTCATTCTCTTGAAATGGAAAGTCTTCCTTTCCTTCTTTCTCAGCTTTCTATCTGCAAGATCTAATTACAGATAATTATTTCACAGGGAAGTGGTAACAGACTATTGTGATAAGCACAGAATCAAACTAATGGAGGTAATCCACTTTTGTTTAAAAGTTGCCTGCTCTGAATGCAAAGGGCAAAACTCTCAGAACATTTGTATTTTAGGTGATACAAATGATCTCCTGAGTTAAATTCTCGACAGTAATCCCATTTTAGCATGGAACAGCTCTGCTTGTTGTCATCTTTCACTATGTTACATATTAAATTCAGACAGAATTTTTCACACAAGTGGCTACACGTACAATCTATAGAGACTGTATTTCTGTAAGTTAAGAATGCATTGTGCATTCAAGTGTATCACTTTTATTTCTTTTAACCACAATTAATTAAATGCTTTCCTTCCTCCTCTCAATCAGTATTGAGGTCTACACCTCTATATTAGCCTCTAGTCCTGTACAGCTTTTCATTTAAGACTGTTCTTCTGTCTTAAAGCCCTCACCCGTAGCTTCTTTCTCCCCTGTTTTTTATTCATTTAGCAGAGAAATACTTGAGAACAGTACACAGAAAATTTGGGATTAAAATATTTATCAGGGAATCATATGCTAAAATTTCATTAAAATATGCTGAGGTTAGCTTCTTGCTAGCCATGTTGTTGTATTTTATTTTCCCATTCATAGTTAATCAAATTATGACAGGTATCTTTAAATATATAAATATATATTTATATAAATACATATTAAAAAAATCTATACACAACAGTGCCACTTTACCCCCTGCAGACTTCTTGAAAGCTGTTCACAAAAGAAATCAGAATCATCAGAGAGTACAGAAAGATGTATCTATGATTAATGCTTGAAATTTCAAATGCCACAGGTGTCAGGGAAACAATTAATAAGGTCTCATTATGACTTATTCAATGGACAAATTTTGCTTTTTCTGATTCATCCTACAGCCTGGTGAGATTTAAGTGAAGGTTTTGGTTGCAGTCATAATGGAGATTTTATTGCTCCATCCCAACAGCACAGCCTTTAAAACATGGGTTGTTTCTTATTGCAAAGACAGCTTCCTGGAGGCATTCATCATAAAGATATTGGATGCACTCCAGTCTCAGAGCTCATGGTCTTAAGTTTAGCAATTTTTGTAAAATCTCTTTCTTGAGGTAAATATGTGAAAGAAAACCTTCCAACGTTCTGCAGCATCTCTTTTTCCAGAACATATCCCCTAATGCAGAAACACTCTCTAACAACCTGGCATAAACAATTTAACTCTGCCTGGACAAATTCTGCACACGTTAACACCTTTGTTTATTCATATACATTAACATTGTCTCCTGTTTATAGCATGCCTCTTATCCCAAAGGACACAAAAAGCACTCCATAAACGTTACTAACAGTCCTGTGCAGACTAAATAGAGATTATTTCATCCAGCACCAAAATGCAGCCAGCCCTCAGTGTCAGAGCCTGCAGCTGAACCACTCAAGGCTGAGGGATTTTAAGTGAGGAAGAGAAATTGGACCCAGCTGAAATCTAAGGAGACTGCAGGTAGGCTGAATGTAATAATTTAGCTCGTGATGTGCACTGACAGTGAGGGTTTGTTTTGCGATAGAAGGGTGACATGAAATGTTTCCTCACTAATTCAGAAGCAGACAAACACCCCAGGTGTTTGTGTTCAGTACCAGAGGTCCAAGGCATTCCTTATTCTACATGCTCCATGCTCTCCACAGACACTTCAGGTCCTATTTCAAGAACAATATTTTACCTTGAAAACAAATTATGCCTGGGAGAAGAACCACATTAAGGCATCCATACTATCTGAAACCCTGAGTCTAAAGGAATTAACAGGAGTCTCTGTGCCACAAAAGTTCTGCAGTCAGGATTATCAGATTTTGACTCCACTGTGAGCACCTCCAGCTTCAGTTAAATATTAAAAACATGCATGTATTGAAAGGTTTAATCAACACAGTTGGAGGTTGAACAGGCTGGAAGAGACTATAATGAATTCTAACTCTATTCATAAATTGACCACAAAATTATTAAGTCAGATCCAGAAAATTTTGCTTTTTCCTTAAAGCCATGCAAATTATTTGAGGGCAGTTGGCTGCACTGCTGTGTGTAATGACCGAATATAACCCACAAACATTTTACTAAAGAATATTTCTTACAATGATGTTGTGAAATCCAGAAATCTCAAAACTCAACTTGGAAATCATGGAGACAATAAACATGGCACCTCATAATGCTGTTTTTCCAAGAGAATCCTTTTCCAGATTAGACTGCATTTGAACCCTTCATAAAATATTATTTATAGGGTGTCAAAAAGTTTCTACACTGTAAAAACAATACCTGTTATTATGCACTTGGTGTTTATTCGTTCTTGCTCTTCAAAAATTAATGTATTTTTCCCTGTTTTGATGCTACAGCCAATTTGTTGTGCTTAAGACAACAAAAGAAAAAGATTTTTTTCTCCACATATACATCAAAAATACATTTAAACACAGAATCATGGAATTGTTTGGGTTGGAAGGGATCTTAAAGATCATCTTGTTCCAACCCCCCCCCCTGCCACAGGCAGGGACACCTTTCACTAGACCAGGCTGCTCAGGGTCCCAGCCAGCCTGGCCCTGAGCAATTCCAGGGATTTATCCTGGAAGATTTACTTTAAGGTAAATCTACCACGCAGACCTCACCAGTGCTGAACAGAATAAGCATTTCACTGATACCTTTTGCCACACTAAACAGCACCTACCAGAAACCAGTAGGGGAAAAAAAAACAGTAGGGAAAAAGCCCAAGAAAAAATTAAAAAGGAGAAAAACCTAAGGAAGAATTGCTCCAGCATCAGAGACTGAGACAGGCAAGCTGCAAACACTGCTTTATTTCTTAACTCTAAACAGAATATCAGAAGTAATGGAAGTAACTGTGAGAATGGAAGGAACAGATTCATCTTCAGCCACTTCTCCATGTGATGAGCAACAGCACTCAGCCAGAAAGAATTTCCTGCTCTGCAAAACCACAAACATTTTTAGAGCCAAAGGGCATTGTTCTTCTCTGTGAATAGTCTCAAACTATTTGAATGCCTAAAGTAAGAGAATGTTCTTGTGAGTTACTGTTATTTAGTCAGCACATTGTGAAACCCTGGCCAGGTGAGAGCAGCAAACAACTGCAGGCAGGGTCCCGACCCTCAGGAAATTCAGAGTTGTGGCAATAATGCTGCAGCAGATGAGCATGGACAGACCAAAAAGGGTGTCCAGAAAAGCGAGTGGTTCCTGGTGCTGCTGCATGTACCCAACAGCACAGATGTCGCTTGGAGAGATGGTGAAAGCCAAAGCAAGGAAGAGAACTAAGAAAACAACGCTGTACAAATTCAGATAGAGTGGAATGGAATTAAAGAATCTTAGGAGAACACAACATCAAAGTACAAACAGAAAAAAAGGGACACCACTCTCAAAAGGAGCACAAAATCCCCGGACTGGCACCAGCAGAGCATATAAAGATGTGGAGCAATAACACCACAAAAATATAGAAAATTCCCGCCCCTTGATGCCACTGAGCTCCCTCAGTACTTCGGGTTTTAGAGGCAGCTTGGGCAACTCTGCATTCAGATTTTGGCTAATCAATTACCTATTAATAGGTTTTATTAAATATAAGTATAACCTGGACATGACTGGAATAAGGACAGAAAAATACATTATGATGCTGGTAATGAAAACAAATTGATCCATTAAAAAAAAAAAAAAAAAAAAAAAAAAAAGAGTCAAAATCACTTCTTTATTTTTTGTACTTACCCCATTCTCCCCCCCACCCCAGAAATAAAATCTAATTCAAACCAAACTTACGTTCCCAAAAGCTCCTCATGCTTTTTGTTATCCCTTCTCCACACCTCAATGTCCAACATATCCTTCCTGTCAGAGAAGTAGTGAAAATCAAACTGTTCCCTCCACTGAGGATTTGCACTCTTACACAGTGTCTAGAAAACATGCAGTTATAATATTTACTTTTCTTAAACAGTAGTTATTTTCACAGTAAATCAAAAATTAAAAAAATAAAGCAATTCTACAGAACAAGGCTGGATGTTAGAGCATCAAGTACTAATGTCATTCCAACCAAAGCTCCCCAGCCCATCACATATAGTCTCATCTTCCTAAATATTCTATTTCCTCCCTCTCAATAAAATAAATATACAGTTGTTATCTGAATGAATGGCTGGGAAAATTCCAAAATGTAAGGTAGACCCCACCAGCTCCACTGCCAATGGACTGTGGTCATCATCCACCATCACTCACTGGAAGAAATCAGGATAATCCTTTTGAGGACAATCACCTGGAAACAGGTTTGAATGAATTAAGGAACCCAGAGCAGTATTTTTTCACCCTCTGTCTTAAGCAAACAGCTCAGCCTTGCAGATTCACATCTATCTCTTTAGCCATTAAAGAGACACATGAAAAGGGACTGTAATGGGAATAACATCTATTTATTCTGAAGTAACTAAACCATTTGTTATTTTTCAAAACTACTTTTCTAAATAGAAAACATATCATGACCTTGGTTTGAGGTCTGATGTGAGGGACAGAGTGCAGGTTTCAGATGCGCCTACATCCAAATGTTATGTTCTGTGAACTTGCTCTGTACATTTTGTACAGGAGGAGGTTTGTTTTCTCCTCCTCTGCACTTCCAGTTCATGACATGCAGAGCTCTTGCTCCCTCAAAAGAGTATTATTTTAATTATAGCCTTTCTTATTAGACTTTCCAGATGAAATGTGTATCCTTGGGAACCCCATTCATTTCTTAGATTCTTATATAACTGAACTGTATACAGATAAACACAGCCTAGAAGAATAAAAATTAATATCAGAACCATGGAACATTTTATCTGTTTTGGGGGAAGGTTCTGTAATATACAACATATTTTTCAAAAAATGTACTTTAAAAGAGTAATAATTCCCTTGCACTGGAAACCATTTCAGGTCTACTTTTCCAGCAGATCTAACATTGCAACTTCTGTATTGGCAGAGAACAAAACACATGTGTGATGCATGTAGCTTTATTTCATTTCATTTCATATTAATGTCAAACATCCATCAACATGATGAGTATGTTAAATGCACAAAAAAGTGATAACACACAATATTCCTAACTTGCTCTTTCTCTACTGGCATCAAAACAGGGTGAAATGTTAATGCTTCTGGTCTGGTCTCCTGGTGTTGGACTCACTTATCTAAAAGAATAGTTCCCTCTGAGGTAGCAACACCAGTAAAAGAAGCACCAAGCACCTCACTGACTTCAGACAACTTAAGGAAATCCTTAATACTTACCTTGCTCTTGTATCTTTGATCTCCCAGTTTGAGGAGAATAAAGATCTCTGCCAAGCCCCCTCTGGGCATGTTCTTCCCCTCCAAGAGGGTGATGGTGACCAGCCCGTTCCACAGCTGGTTCTTGCGCAGAGACTCCGAGAGCCGCATGTTCCGCGTGAAACTCGACTGCAAAGCAAGGCAGCAACACGAGATGTTTCAAGACCCAAACACATTTTCATGCTCACCTTAACTGTGCTGTGAAAGCACAGCAGGAGTGAGAGAGACACCATGCTTCCCTAAGGGTAAGCAGGCAGTGGAAGGCAGTAGGATGCTATGGATTTTCTTCCCGACTACAGTCCCTGTGAAGGGATGGTGCTCAATGTCACAGCAAAATCAGCAGGGTTTGCTTAAAGCACCACAGAAGTCGCCTTCAGCTACCCTGGCTGAGCTCTGGCAAGAGCAGACCTCGAGCACTGAGAGCAATCTGGTACCTTGGCTCAGGGAAAGGCACGGCAGAGCGATGGGGAACAGAGCAGGGGAGAAACTAAAGTAAACTCTTAAAACGTCTCCAGCTACATCCACAAAACGTGTCTGTCCTTTCTGGGGAGGCAGCCCAGGATCATAAAGCCCAGAGCCAGGTGAAAGGCTGAGCAGCATCTTCCACCTCCTCCATCACTCAGCCACTCGCCTTAGCTCTTTGCCCGCTGCCTTTGCTGCTCCTGCTTCCAGAAACTGAGCCCACGAATCAAAAATACTGATGCCTGCTGAAAAAACACTGACACCACCAGGCTCTTTATCTGGAGTTATGGTTACCTGGTAGCCACATTTGTTACCTCCACAGCTTCATCTTGCGCAGCACGGCTGCGCTAACAGTTTGCTAACTGGCAATATTTTATTGGACAGAGGATGATTAAATAGGCCTTTATTTGGGGGGGAGTGAGCTGGAAACATTAAAACTCAAGGCTACACTCTTCTTCCCGCAGTAAAAATCCTGCCATATTTTATTCTCCTGAAGCAACTTTTAACTCGCCACACTTTGGAGCTTCAATCATGTCATGTACAGGTGGGAGCAAGACGGAGGAGAAGATTTCACAAGTCACTTTAAAACAGGACGTGTTAGCTTTAAAAGCAAGTAAGAAATGTTGTTGCTAAATAAAACTATTGCAAAAGCACCTGATGTCTGAAGATTACTTTTTATGGATCAATTACCCGGCAACAAAATTCTTAAATCATAGGTGGTGAACTCACAAATTTTTTACTTGCTTTTTACTGGTTAAAATACCGAATTCTGAATCCCACAAGCATATTAATATACTTCTATTTAAACACCCCGTTTGGCTTTCCTGGCGCAATGGGTAAAAATTCCTACCTTTAAAAAGAAAACGAGATTTTGATTCATAAATCCAGCTGCAATGTAATTTCTTTTCTCTTTTTTTTTTAAAAAGTTTGTCTTTTGGGCCAAAAAGCTAAAGCATGACTGTTCCCATGGACATACTTCAAAGTCCCAGCAGATATACTCCTCCCTAAACACTGCAACTATTTCAAAATCCTTTTTATAAAAAAGGGAGTAATGTCCACAAGGGATCAAAGGGCATTCTACAGTCTGGCAATCGCCTTAGAAAAATGGCAGTGCTTCCATGAAATATGCCCTAAAATAATTTTGCAGCTTGGTATGTCCTAATTTCGAATTGGATGTTTATCTTGGAAAGGCTTCTATCTAACTTGTCCATAAAACAGCTCCACTTAGCTCTATGAGCCCTGTGAAAATGGAATCCAAAGCTGGCTATTAAGGGGGCCTGGAGATTGCTTCCATATGGCGTAACAGCATGGGAGTGGAGGGCTAAGGCCTACAGCAGGCGCTGCTTGGCTTGAGCTCCCCATCTATCCATGGACACTCATTGCATTACACCATAACATCTGGATTATTGCTTGTAATGTCCCTGGGAAATATCCACTTCCCATCAAAGCCTTTATCTATCTCGCTTGTACTTTGAACATTTTAGTATTTAACATAGTCATGTTTGATGTGATGTACTCGCTGCTTTAGGAGCAAGGATTTTCCCTCCCCCCCCCCTGCTCCTTCCTTGGAGGAAGAAGAGGTATTTGATGTTAGTTCACAAAAAAAAAATAAATAAAAAAAATTAAAAAACAGATGAAGTTTATTATCCACGTTACAATTTCTTTTAAAAACAAAGCATCCAGCTCTCTTCAAAGCTTCCAGGCTGAACACAAAAGACAGTTGTTATCACTCAGTTTTCAAATCAAACTTGGATTCTTTTCTTTTTTTCATCCAGGCCAATATTTTAGGGAGTCACTCAGTGCTGGGGACCTTCCTACCCCAGCTCTACAGCACACATAACCCCACCCTCGTAGCTGCTGACTTGACAGTTCAAAGGACTGTTGGGAGGTACCCAAACCATCCTGGATCCCACACAGCCCCAGGAAAATTCAGCACCTGCACTCAGTATTATTGGAACACATTGCAATGCACCAACCCTGACCTCCCAAAACAGGTGGCCCCAAGCAAAGAGCCTCTTGCTCCCCCCTCTCTGGCTGTGCAGCTGCAGAAGTGCTCTGTGCTCCTCTCAGAACAGGGCTGTGCTGGTCACCAGCTCACAGGACCTGCATGAGATCCAGCATCACTTGAGAGCATCCCACTGCAGAGTGGAGCCAAGAGGTTTGCAACTGGTTCAGGGCAGGGTGCTGACCTGCAGCAGCTCCACACAGGCTCCCCCAGCTCCCCCAGCCCAGCCCTGCCACTGGCACAGGGCTCTCTCCACACTGAGCATGGGAAGGCTGCTTGCCTTACAGCCCTGCAAGGCACAGCACATGAGGAATGCTTTGGATTTCCTGGACATGCCCAGGTCGCCCCCACAGAGCCTGCTCAGCAGGTCTGGCACATTTCCTGTGCCTCGTAGCACCAAAGAGCCCCTCTGTACTTGCTCTGTGGCCACCTCTCCAGCCTCCCCAGGTATTTGGCAGGCTGTTCCTCTGACCACCCTGATGGAAATCCCAGTGAAACAGGCAGTGTCTCAGATTCCACTCTCAGTTTCTGGAAGGAAGCACGTCTGGGGAAAATCAGATGTGTGGTAGACCCACAGACCCAGGCCTTCAATGAGTCAACTTTAGTGCTGCCTAGGGAAGTCTGCTCTATGGAAAAAGCCTCCCAGGTGACAAGAAAATGATATTGCCTTATTTATTTTAGACGTCTTACCTCCTCTCTGATACCCCACACCTACTCATTTCAAACTGATTTACACAGAGCTAATTGATTAAACTTCACAGCCTCCCTCTGAGTTGGCAAAACTACTGCAGAGCAGAGCACAGCCATTAGTCCAACAGAGTTACTCGAGCAAAACAAGCACTGAAAAAAAACACCCCAAACACTCTCCCTTGCCTCCAGCCACCACCACCCTAACCTGCCTTCACAACCAGAAAATCCAAAGCCCTGGTCCATGCTGGCCAGAGAATGAGGACATAACTGCTTAATCAGTGACAATTTTGAAGTGGTTTATCTATTCAGTTCTTCCTTTTGCTGTTACCTCCCAGGCTACTGATGCTGCCACACTTCAGGTACTGCAGCTCCTCCCCTGCTGAACCTGAGCCCTTTTCCAGCTGGGCTCCCACACTGGATGCCAGCTCCCTCCAGCCTCCCCTGCTCTCTTTTCCTGTAAGCTCTCTGCTCACACTCTGGCTACATCCCAGACCCACGGAAAGGTGCTGAGGTACAGAAAAGTTGGCTGAAGCTGGGATCAGGCTACAGGGCTGGAAATTAAGAAACACATGATTTATTATGGAAGCTGGCACATGTCCCAAGCACAAGGCATTGGACAAGCTTGCTTATTCCTTCCCCTCATCATTTCTGAAATCAAGGTAGCCTTGAGACCAGAATTTGAGGGTTGTCTCTAGACAGAGCTCTGATTTTGGCTGGGCTCTGTGTGCAAATAAGCAGTAACACCATAAAGGTCACCTTTATGAGCAATTCATTGCTGTAAAATGGATAAAAACTGGAACTAAAGACATCCCTTGAACAAGCCAGCCAGAAAAAAAAAAGCAGACAATAAGCACAAAAATATCCAGAGATCCTTATTCCTTAAAACAAACTAGATGTTTTTTTAAGTCTAAGAACCCATGTCCACTGCAGATTTTGGGACTGTAACTCATCAGATAATTAATGAGCAATCTCTGAAGCAAAAGTATGGCCTGGTCATAGAGCAGGACCCTGCCATAAAAGGACCAGAGGATGGTGGTTCTCCAAACTGCTTAGAAGGGACATGTGCCCAAAAAACATCCCACAGTTCTGAACAGAAAAATTAAAAATCAGTGCTCACATCACCACTATCAAAATCTTGTTCCTGGTTTCAAAATTAATATAAAAGTTTCTCACATCAACTTCCAATTTTTTATCACTTTCTGGTTCTATTTTCAAAGAGAAGGATGAGCAGGTGGGCTATATTCTGCCTTCACAGAGTCAAATACAGGAGCTGAACAAGAATGACAGAGCTTTGGAGGGGAAAGAACCGGCTCATTGACCCAGCTTCACAAAATCCTTTAGGAGCTCCAGTCTCCCTGATAACTCCATTTGTCTGTAATGTCCCTCTATGGGCACCCAGCAAATCCCCTCTGGTGCATCAGGGCTGCTTTCAGATCTGTCTCTTTTCCTGACACACACATACATGCCCCAAGTTCAAACTTGTTTTTGAAGCAATAAAGAGATGCAGAAAAATTGTACATTTAAATGACACGGCGAGGTGGCCAAGTGTGAAGTGAGCCCATCTCTGCCATCTTTCATTTAAAAGGATGAGACAGGACAACAGAAAGCCTGCTGCAATCCCTGTGAAGAGGTCAACGTCAAAACTGGGCCACGTAATTTGCCATTTGAGAAAACAACAACACACAAATAGGAGGACTCTTAGGACCTCTCCTCATTAGGCAGAGAAACCATTTCTGCAGAGGCAGATTCCCCTTAGGAAAGAGGAGAGGGCAGGGGGAAAGGCAAGTGAACCAACACGAGATTGGCACCACGAGGAGTGACCCTGTGGCGAGCGAGTCCCCGCAGAGCTCTGCTGCCCACGGGGGATTGGGGAGAGAGCCAAACACAATGAGGCAGACAAAAATGAAACCTAACAGCCCACACAGGAAAACAAAAAAAAAAAAAGGAAGGAGAGTGAGGGATTTTCCCCTGAGATGAGATGCTTGAGGAACCCTTGGGTCCGCTCAGCCTTTCAGCCAATTTATTCAATCAGCTTAGGCGATCAAGGTGGCAATTCCGTCGCTTTTGTTTCAGGACTGAACTGCTGCAGGTCAATCCACCCCAAGCAGACCTGCTTATCTGCCTCCTGGATGTTCAACACTTAAAGGTTACTCAGCTGTACAAATGCTGGAAATAGCGTGCAGGGCACTCAGGGTGAGACTCAAGCCACCCGGGACAAACAAGAGTACTGAGCATCAGCATGCTGGGCTCCAGCAGAGAGCTACCAACTCCCTCTGTGCCCCAGAAAGGAAAGCAGAACACAGGGGAGAGCTTGTCAATACACAGATATGAGTGAATAGATTAATGCTGCCTAATAGCATCCTCTTCCCTTTGTAATGCCACCCTCCACGAGGAAAAGAAGAAAGCCACACTCTTCAAAACGGCTCCCACCGAGGACAATGCTGTTCTCAGCTCCCATGAAAAATGAGGGATCTAAATGTGCTGCCCATGTCTTGGAAATCCACCCAAATATGCAACGATTCCCTTCCAGCAGCAGTGAAAAATATATACTGTGTAATAATCAAGAGATACCTAAATCATGCAGTTCAACAGCTCTTGCTCCAAAATGATTTAAAAGACCTTACTGAGTTGCTGGAATTCTTCCTGCATACTCCCTGTAATCACCATGAGGCTACTGGAGCTGGACTGGAGATCTTGTGCTGAAACAGTTGTTGCTGTTGCCTGAAATGCAGCTCTTTCTTCAAAAAGCAAGTGAGCTCAGAGAACACACATGAAGAGAGTACAGTATCCACAACAGCCCACATGAGCCCTGCTGCCAGTCTGACACGGAGCTGCAACAGGTATCCATGCCATCAACATTTGGGGTAAATTTGGGAAGTCAGCAAGAATCCCGTGATTAATGTGAAAAGACTCATTTAGGACACTGATGTGCCAAATCTGCATTAAGACAACACAAAATGGTCAAATTAGAGGATAATCAGATTTCTTTCATGTAGGCAATACAGATTAAAAAACAGCTGTGAAAGTTATATTCATTTTGTCCATCCTTAAAATAAGTCATTTTCCCTGTATTTATAGAAGAGGAAAAGCTAAATATTACAATAGGGGTCAGCTGCAGTTCAGCACATTAAAAAAAAAAATCCTAGGAAAACTATTTCAAATAGAAAACTTTTATTTGCCTAAACCTGGAGAGAGAAAATTTAGATGTCTCAGTTCAGCTGCTCAAATGGAAAGTATACTGTTTTCCTCCTGCAAAACCCTACCAGAGTCAGCTCAGGAGCCAAAAAACAGACAAGCTTGTGGATCCATTACACAGCTCTCTCCATTTCCTCTGCCCTCCTTATTCCTGTATCTTTATCTCGTCCAGCAACATTGTTTTCTACCCCATCATACTCTCTGGCTATTCTTCCATAACCTCTTGTGCCTTCCCTAGACACCTATATTCCCCATGCACACAATTTTTCTTCCTAGGCTTTATGTTCTGCCACAAACTGCTAGTACTGCTTCCACAGAGCAGAGTTTCCTAACTAAAGATGGTTATTGATGTACAGTACTAGTGTTTTAGTGCAGTAGCAGAATCAATAAACCAGGAAATACTGCTTTGTCAGATTTTTTCGGGCGCATGCTGGGAAATATTTTTTACTGCCTTTGGATGGTCACAGAGGTTTTCTTTAGAGATCACACTGGAGCATGAACTGTGTCTTCCCTAGGAAGAGCTGAAGCTCTCCTACCCTCTAGTGACTGGAACAGAACAGAGCACAGGGTTGAAGCTTTTTTCCTTTTAAACAATACTTTTATGTCTCCTAAATCAGCACCACGCTTCAGCATCTCATAATTTTATCCTGAAAGGTGTTAAGGCACAAGACAGAGTCTTGAGAGCCGAAAGGCTGACAGCTAAAGGTCCAAAAGCGTGTATGTAAAAAAATTATACAAAATGCAATGAGATATTATGTAAAAAACAAAAAGAAACAAACAAACAAAAAACACCTAAGGAAACTGAAAAAAATACAACCCAAAACTTCCAGTAACAGCAGCCAAGACAGAATTTTGGCTATTCTGAAGAAAAAGAACCTGAGTTTAAAAACCTGCCTCCCTTTCCCACGTACCAAAGCCAACCAGTATCCAGAGACAGCTGTGTGACAAAGATGGGGATCAAGCAACACGGACCAAGCCAGGGCACAGTAATTTCCAGAGTTTTAGTTAAAAACCAAAGTGATGAGCTGTTCAGTTATTCCATCACTGTCTATCATGTGGCATTCAGGGATCCCTGGCAGCTCTCTGCTCCAAGCACTGCAATATCTCTGCAATCAGGGCTCCAAAGGCTGTACTTTGCACTTCTTCTATTGACAAAAACATTCTTGCTGGCACAGTACCTGAGATGGTTGGCTCCTCTACACAGCACACCACGGTTGTAATGAATAAAACAAGAGGAGGTTAATGATTCAATTTATTTAGGCACAAACCGATAGTTACAGAGGGAAAATATCATGAGAACACACATCTTAAGAGCCAAATTCTGCTTTTCAGAGATTGAGACTGTACAGCTCTCAAGCTGAGTACTGGGGCTTGCAGTGTCTGTATCATTGTTATTTACTCAATAGCAAATTAAAGCTTTATAGAACACATAAAAAGCCACAGTCTGTTTCCTGAACAAGTTAAAATCTAATGCAAAAATGATACAGGAATATAAAAGTAATGGAAGCCTGCAGAGATCCTACAGGAGACCAAGGGAAGCATGTTACATGGACATGTGGCAACACAAAAATCTTGGAAATCCTGCTACAATGGAGGTAATGAAAACTCCCTGCTCAGCCTCCATCCCAAGAACAAAAGGAATTTCAAAACCCACAGGGGTGACCAGAAGAAATACAGCCTCACAAAATTCCATGGTGGGAGGCAGCCCCAAAGACAGAGGGGGATGCAGGAGAGCCTCGTTCAGCTCCTGTGCCAGTCACCATCCAGGTGTTCTGAAACAACTCAAACCCTCCACAGCTCCTTTCTTTTTGGCTGAATTTAAACTTCTTTCCTTAGTACAGAAAGTTTTCCTCTCTTTCTACAGCTCTTTGTGAATGGGGTCTTACATTCACTTGCCACTAGACACTACCACGGCACCTACAATTAGAAAACAACAGCAATTTCCCACCACGATGAATAGAAAAGTCAAAACAGCAAAGGTTACCACAGCCATCACATTGTGACAGGTTGCCTCTACACTTCTGGGTTTTCCTTTGTTTAGCCTGTTTCAGAGGAGGGCACAGATTTTGGGAGGGGACCTTCATTTTCTTTAAGTGAAAAAAAAATATATGGATTACCTTGGATGAAGTTCGTTTCTTTCGACTTGACCATCTCTGTTCATGAGTCCCCATTATTGTACCAAAGAGAATCCAGGGAAAGGAAACAGGTAAGGAGTAAAATGGGGAAATTATTTTAGAAAAATAATTCAAACAGCAGCTTGTCAAATGAATTAGAAAAGACTATTATAAAATAGGGGGCTAAATCTACAACTGCGTCTCCATCTACCTTCCCTGCCTCGTGGAACATAACTATCAACAAACTCAAAATACCTGCATTGCACCAAAAAAAAAAAAAAAAAAAAAAAAAAAAAAAAAAAAAAAAAAAAAAAAAAAAAGAGGTAATAAAAAAAAAGTAATTGAGAATAAAAAGTGGAGGGACCCAGAGCCATTAGTAAGAAACATGGCTTATATTTTTGGTGCCATCTGGTTCTACAGTAAGCTAATTTAAAAAGGGGGGAAAAAAATCATCTTGCTGTTAAGTGCTAATGTGGACAGAGCTATTTCACTGTTCTGACTCCTTTGGAAATGGCTGAGCAATCTGCATTTGAAATATGAGGGCTTAAAACATTGTCTTTAAAAAAAATTACAGCGTGCACCAGCTCTTCTATCATCTGCACTCTGAATGTTAAATAAGCACCCAAGAGCACCAAAAGCTGCTATTTAAACCAATAAGCTTTGTTTCACTGGCTAGGTCCACTTTAGCCCAGGCCTTACTAAAAATCCTAGAATTCCTGAGGCTCTTCTGACTAAACTAACTTTTTTGCTGAAGTAACTTTACATTTTTGCTTCAGCTCTTCCTGCAATTCAGTAACAATGCTGTCTTGTACAAGTTAGAGAGGAGTTCACATTCCAAATAAAAGCCATCTCATAGTACAGACATATAAATACACCATTATTTTAAATATTGTCATTAGGGTTTCAAATAATCACATAGTGAGGTAAAAATAAACTATCATTACCTTGTTATTAATTAAGATTTCACAATTCTCAAAAAGGCATCTATTTGAAAAATAAATATGAACAGCAGATATCCCACATTAGCTTCTCATTTTTCTTTCCAACCCCTTGAAACATTTATGTTTCTATAAATAACCCCATTCAGGCTGGAATTCCACACCTATAATTCAATAATGTGCTGTAAACAGCAAGTTTCATACTCGACTCTGCAGAAAGCTTGTAGAAATATTTTCTGTTAATATGTATTACACATATTTAAAACTAGGTCTTGTTGTTAAGACAGTCCAGGTTAACTGCCTGATCTTGGGTATTCTCCACCCCTTGCGGGCCAGAAGCAGGATTACTTCATCAATATTTGTGTGCTGTACACTCTGTATAAAACACTAGGAGAAAACTTTAAAAATAGAAGCAAAAAAATCTATGTGCAGGTCCTGAAATTTAAAAAAAACTATCAGATTCAGTTATGGTGTTCCCAGTCTGCCTAGCTTGTCTGGACTTCTAACAATTAACTCAGTGAAGAAATTTTCAGTGGGAAGATCAGGGTTTTACAAGCAACCTCCTCCTCTCAACCTGGTGCTCCTCCACAGGACTGGGGCAGTTTAAGACTTAACATCCAAGATCAGTTTCTAGATTTCACATGGATAAGTTTTTTTCATTAAAATAAAAATAAAAAATAATTTAAAAAACAAATAAACAAAACAAAACAAACAAACAAACAAAAAAAACAAAAAAAAAACCCCTCCAAAAAAAAAAAAAAAAAAAAAAGGGAAGTATAATAGCTTTTTTTCAACCTGCCCATTGCAGTGCTGGACACAAGCCCAGAGCACAGAGAGCACTGCCACAGTGCACATCACAGTGACAAGAGAGAAACATCCAGCTACAAATGTCTACACAACTCTAACCCAGCTAAATACAAGGCTTTTTTTTTTAAAGTTATGCTCTATCTCGATTTCAATATTGAGTCTCAGAGGATGAAAATAAAGGTGGCATTTCCCAGTAAATCAGATTATGCCAGCTCTTCTTTTTTCCCCCCTACAAATTCCAGCTATAAATTTGATTTCCTAAGCCACTTACATTTCTCTTGAAGTCTCCTTGCTTGACTCCTAGACTCAAGTTTAATACAATCACTCCCATGTCATCTTCTAAACTGTTGGGATCTTCCAGTTTTAAAACCTGTTCAGTAGTTCTACAAGGCAACAAAGAAAAAAAAAAAAAAAAAAAAAGTTGTGCATTTATTGACTCCAGTTAACTCGAGTTGATTATTAAAGGTCAGGCTGAGCTGTGCAAATTTCAGCTTCTTGTCTGAAATTCCCAATATTGAGTTTAAATGTTAAAATGGGAAACCTGGAGAGTTCTTTCTTGGTTCTGACAAAATACACCCCTCCTTTAATAATGCAGCACAATGTTCCTATAGCACTGCTCACTACTCATTACTCTCCATATTCAGGTACACACTGAATTAAGTTACTACTACCTCCACTACACAGAGAAAAGTGACAGGGAAACTCATCCAAGTGAATCTTCTAATATTAATGATTTGTATTTGACTCCAGAGACATTTATTCTGCCTGCTCTTAATCTGCCTCCGTGACTCTGTTCCTTTGCTGAAAAAAGGAATGCTGGTATTTACCTGGTGGCACTGTCTCATGGACAAATTAACATTTCTAGAAATCCAGATACAACAGCCACAGGAGCTACAACACCCCCCGCACAGGGAGAACTCATTTCCCCCTCAAAAAAGTCATCGCACAGCAAGGGAGTATAAAAGAAACAACTCAAACTTGAATTCCTGGCTTCCAGCTCCACACTGAGCCCAAGCAGCAGCAGCAGCAGACAAAAGGCACAGGGCTTGCCTCGGCACTAAATCAGGGCCAGATGCAGCTGCTGCAGCAGGGATGGATGCAGGGGGAGGCTGGAAAAGGGGCGCTGGCAGCACCCGGACTAAACGATCCTCAGCCCCAGAGAGAGGCACCCGTGGGGCTGAGGACAGGTCCCAAACCTTCTCCCACCTCCATAAATTGTCCTGGGGTGAGCTCTCCCTGAACAATGCTGCACACAGGAATTCTGAGTGCCAGAACTGGGCTCCGTCCAGGTTGGATTTGAATCGGGTGCACAACGCCGGATAAAAGCGTGTGCAGAAGATTTATATCAAGCGATTTCTCTTGAAATCCCCACTCTTCCATCAACAACAAGTTTTCATGAATAGAAAAATTCCAAGCCAGAAAAAAAGCATTTCACTACGTCTCTCTGTTTCTCAACTAAGATGCAATAATAACTTTTAATTAAATGAACTGTTACCTATTGAGCTCAAGTTCAGTGAGCGCTACAGATGCCGAACCCATGAAGTCTGAAGAGGTTAAATCACGATCGTACACCTGGTGGCAAAATAAGACAAATATTTCCAATTTTCACATCATAAGCCAGTTTTATCCCAGGCGATGAAAGAACAGATATTTTAAGCCCTTTCAGTTCAATTTTGTATTTGAAAGATCAAAGCTTCGATATAATTCAGGGATCACTTTCCATCTCCCCGCTTTAATTTGTATTTTTAGCTAAATATTTAACCAGCATTTTGAAAGTATCTTCTTAATATTATGTAAACAGAGACATGTGTGCTGCTATGGATTGTGCCTGCTCCTTTATACTCCACACGACAGCATAATGAAACGCTGCACAAAAATCAGGTACTTGTGCTTACAGATGTTTTAGCAATTAGTGCTCACAACTGGTAGCTTGTGGTTCTGGTAACTGTAACGTTACTCATAACCAGAAAAGGCTTTGCTACTTGTCACGGCTGCATCCCAGGTAATAATTCTGTGCAGCCCAGCCAAATTACACTCCTAAAACGTGCTTCTGAAACCGCCCTTGGTTTCCCTGAGTTTACACAAGCAGGAGGAGAAAGAGAGAGAGAGCAGAATTCAGCTTCCACGGCTTTAAACAGATCCAGTCAAGGAGTTTTATTTCAAACTTGGGTTTTTGCAGACGGAAAGCAAAACATGCAAGTAAAATCTGGGAAAGACATATGTGCATTTTAATTTGAAATTGCTGAAGCTCTTAAACTCGATTGTGTTTTATGCCGTGCTGCTACAGCGAATAAAAATCAATATGTTTCTCAAGTTGAAAATAATTGCTTAAAAAAATATTGGCCAGACTTTCAAAAATCTGAGACCAAAACTTACCTTGATCCAGAGTTTTTGATCGAGGGTCTGTATGGGCAGCACAACAGTTTCATCCCAAACTGGGTTGAGGTTCTTGTATACTACCTTACTTTTGTACAGGGTTTTGCCATTCAGTTTAAACTTCACATACGGGTCACTTGTACCTGTGATAATTAATTAAAAAATAGATTAGCATGCCCATATGCAACTCCACAACCTTAAATTATATTTTCATAAAATAATTAAAAACAGTTGATGGTAATTACCTATTTTACAGATACATGCATATAGTTAATTACCTATATAAAAATTGCTCATTCATACAGGAAATCTACAGAGAAAACCAGAAAGTTGTCTGAAAGCAGACACCAAAAAAAATCTTCATTGTTTGCTTGATCTCTGTTGTTTTATTCTTAAAGAACATTAATTGTTGCTTAACAACTCTGTTAAAATTTTAATTTGGTAAAAGAGCAAACAGAAGCAGCATTGAAGCACTATTTACAGGCCAACTAATGGCACAGTGGAAGAGAGAAAATGTGATGCTGAGACTAGGAATATATTCAAAGGACCCAAACTCCAAAGCATCGTAACTGGGATAGGAGCTCCAAGGAAACCAGTAACAATAGCTAAAATACCCGTCAGGATTTCATCACTGGTGTCACTTTGCCAATTTACTTAAAACCTAATTTGAGGTTTCAGTGAAAAAACAGCGACGTTATTCATCAGCTCAGGATAAAAACCACACAGAGAACAGACTCTGTGAAAACAAGCACTGTCCAGGTAACACGCTTTTTAATCCAAGTGGCACAATTTGCCAGGGCAATAATGTCCCCTGTTTTTATGGAGCAGATGTCCATGGACAGAGCGTGAGGCTTGTGCCACTCGGCAGCAATAGAAAGACTTGCATCTGTCAAGGAAAACAGAAGAGGGAATCAACTTTTTTATTATTATTATTAAACTGGTGGCACCTGCACTAACACCAACCACCACGCAGGACACCAGGTAAGAGGGAGAACAAGGCACGGGGAGGATTTAACTAGATGATGGTTCATTTAGTTATTCCTACAGACTTTGCAAAAAAATCTTCACAAGCTGCAAATGAATGGGAAAAATCAAACGGAGATGTAGCAGCATCTACAATTAACTGAGCCTAGGTGCCATTCACTTGTCATATCCAGTATTTTCTGTACTGTATGTGATAGTTGGAATTAAACTTCCCTCCTAACAGTTCAATTTCATTAGAAGGGTAACAGCTAAAGGGATGGTCCTGGCTGCCCCCCAGCCTGCAGCGAGGGCTGCTGGAAGAAAAGACTGATTTCTACAGCAGACTTCAGAGTGAGAAATAATCTGAACCTGTCCTCCCTGGTTCCCACTGGCCCAACAAACACATGGCAGTCCAGGATAACCCAGCCTAAGAGCAATACTCAGTCTTGCCAATGATTTTGTGCACCTGTGAGCATGTGAAAAATACATATTTAAACATCCAAAGCTCTCATCAGTGTTATGTGAACTTAACAAAAAACAATTATGTGCAAGCATCTATTTGGAATTATGCAGCACGGTAAAGAACTGTGCCCCTGGGAAATGGACCTATTTCTAGGAATTACAGAAAGTTTTTATTCTGCTTTAATTTCAAAAAGGAAGAGCTGTAGAACCTGGTCCATTCTGCACATAAAGTGTGTTTCATTCACAGAAGGAAAATATAAGTTGGTTTTCAAATACTGTCTGCAGCTGATCCTTTTCCTAAATAATAATTATTGAAAAAACCCACCTTTTTTTGTTTAAAAAAAAAAAAAAAAAGCTGCAGACTTCTTAAATAGAATTTTCTTTTTCTTCTCCTCTAAGAGAGAATAATAATAAGGGCCTGATCCAAAGCCAGGAAAGTCAGAGGGCAGCTTCTCATTGTTCCCAGTGGGTTAGGACTAAACCTTTCCTTAAAAATTTCTCAGAACTATGATTATACAAAGCATCCAGTTTAAAAACCAGCACAATTTCCAGGAGTGGGAACACACAGACAGATCATAGCCCCACAGTGTGGGGGGCAGCAGTCCTCAGAAAAAGCAGAATTAAGAAATAACAGCGCTGAGCTCTTTGTTGTCAATTCAAAAAGATTTTAAAAGACCAAAAAAAAAAGGCAAAAAAACGCCCTGACTTTTATTTACAGGGTAAGCTGGACAAAGCTGCATAATTAAAAGTAAGAATAATAATAATAATGTCCACAACCTATTCTGTGCATGAAATAGCAACTGGCCAAGACAAGGAAAGCAAGTGATGAAATGAAAGCACAAAGCAACGATGGAGGCAGGTGGTTTATGGCCATAACTCATCTGCTTTTGGCACAGAAAAACCATGAAAAAGGGCAAAACCTGAAAAGAGAGAGAAAAATAGGAGACACAGAATAAAAGCAAACCGCCAGCAAGTTCAATACCAACAAGCAGAAAACTCCAAGCCCTTTCACTGAGGATGGGAAGCAGGAAGACTATAGCTAAGTAAGCCTCCCAACTGCATTATTGCTCTGAAAAGCTTTCCAGGTTGTTATACAGTAAAGGAAAATAAGAGGTGGGGGGGAGAGAAGGGCTGCCCAGCACTGCTCATGCGAGCCAGGCTTTAACGACCATCCTCACATATATATTTTTAATAAACTCTTCCTTTATAATTGCATGTATCGATATATAGAAACATACACATGTACATAAAAGGAATATATATAAAAGGAATACATATAAAAGGAAAATATATATTTTGTTTATGTAAAAATATATATTGTAAAAAAATAAAAGGTGGGGTGGGGGGAAGCTATAATAAAAAGAGGCCCTTAATTAAATAAGATTGCCACTCTGGGATCAGGCCTTCATGCTTGTCAGCTTACTCTCAAAATAAACATCTCAAAGCGGGGCCTCAGTGGTGTCACTTACTCCAGCAAGGCAGCCTGGGTAATCCCTTGCTATCTTGACAGCTCCATAATGTTCCAGCAGCTTCACGGGTGAGCGGCGGCACCCGCGCCGCCGAAAATATTAATGCGCGAATTACCGGCCAGAGGGGCACGGCGGCTTACCAAAGCCAGACAAGGGAAAGGTGTCAAGTTAGCACCGGTGTTAATTGGGAGGGAAAATAATTGTGGTGGGGTGGGGGGGGGTCCTGCGGCGCTCGCCCGTCAGGCTGTCACGGGGGTGACATCTCAACTAGGCGGGTGAGGGGACAGGGAGCGCGTCCTACAAACGAGGGATGGCACCTCTGTGCCACCCAGCAGCTGGACTGTCACCTGGGCAGTGGGACACAGAGCACCTGGGGGTTGGTGCTGGTCACTGGGGTGAAGCTGGGTGGATGGTCAGGGGTGGAGAAATGTCGGGGATGGAGAAATGTCGGGGATGGACGCGCGTCAGGGATGGAGGCAGCACCACAGCCCCCAGGGCCTGCCCCAAGATGCTGACAAAGCTCCCTGCGTCTGGTTCTGGTTTCCTTTAAGACACCCCAGATTGCATCCAGGTGACCAAAATACTTGACAAGGAATGAGAAATAAGCCAGGTGGGCAAGCCTCTCCTGATGGGATGAACAGCGCAGACTGCAAATTACCGACTGCATTTGAATTCAGGGCTTGAAGCCTTCTGGATTCAAGCTTAGAAAGACGTCTGGGTCTATTAAAAGCTATTTATAAGAGACAATCTACAATCTAGGCAGAAAAACATAACTTTTTTTTTAAAAGAGCCTGGTGATGTTAGAGATGAACCAGTCTAAAAAAAGGATTTTTTGTTTATAATCTTCTTTTAACTGTGACAGAAATGGATAATTTTCTGAAGAAGCCAGACCAATTAAAAAAAAAAAAAAAGAAAAAAGCTTTTTAGCATCTACTTCCTAGTGAAGGCAACTGAATCAACAACTTTTAATCACGTGCATGCAGGCTCTTCTGAAAGCAAGGTCTCACATCAGCTGTAGCAGTATCAACAGGGGAATGGATTATTCTTAAAGCCAGTTGAGAATTTGGCCCCCCAAAAATATCTCTCTGATGGGACAAGCAAGGTGCTTTGAGGCTAATTTATATATTGTGCAGTGAAACAAGTAGGTTCTCACACAGTAAAATATATGGAAAAAATATATATTAATACCCAAGATAATCTACTTCTTAGCCTAAAGCAAACCAAATCAGAGTAAAAAGGAAGGCTGACCTCATAAAAAAAAAAAAAAATCATTCCATCAGCTAGGCCTCTTCCCCATGAGAGAAAGAACATTCATCTCAACAGTGATGCTCCCTGGAATTCCTTTGCATAATACCAATTTCACTTCTATTTTCTTCCACTAACGCTAAAAAGCAATGAGTGCAGGCAGACCAGACATCACTTAAAACCCGAGAAAACTTCAGTGAGCAAAAAGTTGCTGGGACAGAGCAGCAGGAGAGGGTTGAGTAGCCCAAGAAACTAAACTGTTAAAGGTGTTTTTAAATGGATACTGCTGCCCTCTAGCAGCTACCGAGCGATGGATCACATCCACTGCTTCAGAACGAGGGAAAAAATAACCCAGCAAACCCAGAAGACCCAATATAATTTCAAGCCACACACTGTTTTATGGAAGCAAACTTACTGGAAATGTAGCATATGAAACAAGTCTCGTTCCATAAATAAATAAATAAAAAACGACCACCAAATTGCCTTAAAGTCTTGAAAAAATCAAAGAGCAGTGTGAAATATAACCTAGACCATCTTAAGTTTTGGTTAAAAAACTAAATTTTAATCTGAAGAAGGAAATTAAGGATTTATTTTATATGCATGTAAAGAATAAATATCTGAAAATCTTCCTAGAAATAGAATTACTGGAGTTATTTACGACAAGGAGTAAAAGGCATTCTAAAATAGAACACACATTTTTCTTTTTAAATGGAAAACCACTACATCCTTGTAGCGAAACAGCCAAGATCAAGGCTTAAAGGGGAAATCAGAAAAAAAAAAAAAAAAAAAAGTCTTGTGCTGGCAGGAAATTCAGGTGATTTTGGAAAGTTTTCTGCCCAGCTAGTTTTACATGGCCAGATGGAAATGAAACATTGCTTGGAAACAAGGAGTCCCAATAGGTTCCAGGGGAAAATAAAACCAACCAGAAAAAAAAAAATACACACAGACCCGAAAAAAAGAAAAACCACCACAAAAAACCTAATAAACTGAAAAGACCAGAGAAG